GAGATGGTGAAAATAATACCCCATGAGGGACAGTTTATTTGGAGAGGCTAAGCCTTCCCAAGCTTCTTATACGCGCCGCCACTATATATATATATATATATACACTAGGTTATGAACTTATCTATAGAATGTTAATTATATATATATATATATATATACACTAAGTTATGAACTTATCTATATAATGTTAACTATATTTACGCTAATTTTAGTGTTCTGAAAGTAACTGCAACACAAATCTTTATTTTGTATATTCTCAATAATCCGTGAGACCTTCATTAAGATAATATATGCCTTTAACCTGAGTGGTGGTGACTGATACAGTTGCACTAGAGGGCGTGCTTCTGTTTATTCATGGACTTAGCGGCTGTTTCCTGTCGGTGCTGCACGTCTTGGCCGTATCGTGTTCTTGGGTTGGCGTTTAATTTTATTTTTTAATGTATGTGAATGTGCAGATACTTGTTAGTTCAGTTAAACAATACGATCAGATAAATTTTTCTGGCAGTTGGTTCAGAGAATGAGCAACACTTATTATTCAAGGCGTAGTTTATTCAGAAATGTAATAATTTTAGCTTGATCATATTTGTTCTTCATTGTTTTATTAGGCTTAAAAGTTGTTAACATATTATTGCTCTCTGATAGAAGTACATCTTATTAATTTTTCTTTTATGTATGTAGATATAGATGGGTCATTAACAATTTTCTGATTACACTGTAATTTGTAGATCTGTTATATAAATTTGGAGATAGGTAATCGTTGAAAAAAATGTTATGATTGGCTGAGTTGTATGGGTAAGTTTACGACAGAAAATTATCTATTAGGTTATATTTATAGCATCGTGAAAACAATGTTCTATTTAAATTGCAGGTCTGTTTCTGTTAATTTACAATGAGAGGTTAAATCTAATTTTACAATTTAAGTTAAACTATTTTCAATTCATATATTGCATACCTAGTTTGCAAATGTCACTACTATGACCAGTTGACCAACAAATATTGTTGTAAGCTATATTTTCATTGTTGATTTAGATGACAGCTAAAGGACGCGTGAGGATAACATTAGTATATTCGACCAAGCTAGGTGCTTAATTAAAAGATTCGGGGCTCGGGTTCATTGGTGCAGGAATTATCGACGTTTCTGACTGATATCGATCATGATTTTTATTCTGATTTTTCAAGACACCAATTGGGTATTATGGGCACTGTCAAATAGAATCGGCGCACAGGCCCTGTGTGCCAGCGCCTAGCGACACCTCTGCATTTGAGAAGTGAGTGAAACTTCAGAGACATTCGTGAGTGATGGTATATATTTAGTGTTTGTAGTCCAAGAAATTAGTTAACCCGTAGGTTAGCAAATTTGTTATTCAGACTCAGAGTTGCGTGTTTGTTTACCGATAAAAGTTAAGGAGTTAAGTTAGACTTACGTCTCATAGTTTGTATTGAAACCATGTATTTGAAGTTAGTCCTATATTTAGTTGCGGAACTAATGTTTAGAAGTTTATTCATAAACTTAAGCCTACAACTGTGTACAAGTGAAAATAGCCTGTAACAAATGTTAAGGAAGAAATAAAGTGATTTGATTTGTTATTACCTTAACTGGATTTCATATCATTTTCATCAAATACTTTAAACCCCCCACCACCACGAATGGAAGAACACGTTACAGTTAAGTAGTTATAGAGTTTGACTCATTTTTTGAGCAGCAAATTGCCTACCCAGCTCTACTCTTGGTGAAAGCCCGACAGATCCGGTGAAAGTCTACAAGTAAAAATGAACTCTCAGTCCATAATGGGCTTTCTTTTTGAAGCCCTTAAAAGGCACTTTAAAGGTCTTACCTTAAAAGTTTGCAGGTTGTTTTAAGGAGACTGTACTTCTCTGTCTTTTTACTCTTGAAATCGCAGAAAACACGCACGAGTTGGCTAAAAATGAGCAAAATCTTAGTGAGGGTTTTCAGCAGCGTTCATTCTCCAAGAAAATAGTTGTTAAACAGAAAGCTACACAAGGGCTATCTGTGCTCTGCCCACCACGGGTAGCTAAACCCGGTTTCTAGCGTTGTAAGTCCGCAGACATACCGTTGTGCCACTGGGGGGCAGGTAATGATGGGTTTCTCCTGTTTCATTACATGGGGTATACATACAGTATATGTACCTTCCATCATTACTGGCATAGTTAAGACAAAAACAGAAACACTGTTTATATTCATAACTGGTAAAATATTAATTCTACAATTGCATTTCTTTTTCAAATCCCACCAATCATTTGAGAGATTTCTTTTTACACATTTTTATATATACTTTCAAGACAGACACGTTTCTCGCGTTGTAAGTCCGCAGACATGGGGCATGTTTGCATATTTTGTAAAAAATAAGATCATTATAATTAAGATGGAATACAAATACACTTAGCACTATAAAACTGAGAAATACATGTTATATTAAACATTTACGCATGTAATTTGTATAATGAGACAAGTTCTATGGACATCATGAACGATTTATTAGAACAGCAAATAATTTTGTCAGACATCTGTAGAAAGATATGTAATTCAGCATTGCACTTATCACACCAAAACCTTACCAAAATATAAATAATGACAAAATATAAATCAAATTAACATACACAGCGTATATAACCTTATATCAGTTCATATTACACATTCAATACTTGGTTGGTCCTCCTCATACTCTAATAAACTCCATAAGGGGACGTGGCATGCTGTCGATGAGATTATTGATGTAATCCACCGTGATTGCATCCCAACTTGTCACTAGAAGGCGCTGCAAATCATCTAAAGTAGCTATTTTAGGGTCGTGGTTAACATTTTTCTGGTTCAGTTTTGCCGAACACTTGTCATTGGGATTACGACCTGGAGACTTTGCTGGCCATAGCAATCTTGTTACATCCTCCTGGTCGAGATAATCCAGTACAATACGCGCCCTGTGAGCACTGGCATTGCCATCCTAGAACAAAAAGTTATTACAAACCTTGCGCCAGCATATGGCAGAAATATCGTGTCCATGTGATGCTTGTAGGAGGTGCCATTGACATTTCCTTGGAGGATATGAAGAGCAGTTTTCCACCATGATGAATAGTTGTCCAAATATGTACTGCACCAGCTCCTGTTCTTCAAGCAAATGACAAACAAGAATCTTACCATCAGCTTTAACAAGCATGAAACAGGATTCATCTGAAAAGATGACATGTCGCCAGTGTTCTAACTGTAAGTTGGCATGTTGTCTTACCCAAGTAACACGGTGACGACGGTGAATTCTGGTTAATATCGGTTTGCAGCTATCCTTTGCAAAATAACCTTGTTTGGCCAGTTTCCTATTCACTGTTCTTCTGGATACCCTGGAATGAATGTGTTCATTCCATTCCCGTCTTAAGGTGTTGCAAGACTTCTCTCGACCTTGACGTGTTAACCCGATCAAACCACGGTCATCTTGAGCAGTAGTTTTCGGCGTCTACCAGTCTGAGTTTCCTGTAGTCCCATGACCTTTCAGGATTCTGGGGGTACCCTACTATTCTGGCAAAGTCCATTTGCTTCATATCATTTCTGGACAGTCGAAAAATTTTACACTCCATAACTTTTGGCACCTGACGAGGCATGACTCTACACCAAGTACAGAGAAATTGTCTGTACCAAGCGTTGATCAGTTTCAAAAAAGATTATATCAAAAGCACATCCTTTTACACAAAACAGTTGCGTATTTGTGTTTTGACGAACAAATGCTCAAAACAACTTATACAGACCAGAATAACAACTAGTACATGTTTGTCCAATATTACGCTACCTTATCTGTTACTACTTGGGCATTTACTCGATAACTACTCCATGCATGTAGACAGTATTATCAATATAGAACAGTATGCAAACATTTTGGCCAAGACTGTACGTACCTAATTACTAACCAAGGCGGTTTCTGAATACAAACTCCAGTAAAGATGTATCCATGGATAAAACAAACAATGACTCTTCTGTATAAAATCAATAAATGAATTATATAAACGATTTGTTAACTTTCATGAACCTCTCATCGTGCATCACACCGGTGCATTTGCTAGTTACTTCTAAATTCACTTTGTATCAGTAACACAACTGTCAACTTTTAAAATATTCAAGCTACTGTGTAGTTAAGTTAATATTTAAGTCTACTATTTATTTCTAAATGAGTCCACGAAGAAGGTGAAATGTACAATATAATAAAATATCATCTGAAGTTCGTGGTTATGTGTCAGTTGTGAACTCCAGTAAATTTTGTAAGCATTACAAGTGTTGAGAATTATAAGCCCAGTTTGGGTAAAATTTAACTAAAACTTGTGATTCAAATCTGATTTTTGTGTATCTGTTAATGAGTTAATCTTTCGATCAGTAAAGACTAACGTTCATTCAGTGTATAAAGGGTTTTGCTCTTTAATACGTTATGATTACTTAAGTAAGAATGTTTGTATCTTAGGTGATGAAGAACGGTAAGATAGTAATTAAAGTTCAAGTCTTGGTGTGCAAGACATTGTCATCTTCAGCAGAACGCGCTGTGATAGTCAAATCAAATAGAGATATAGTTGAAAAAGAAGCACTATCACAGGGTTCAAATGTCAAATGAAAGTTATGTTAGTATTTGCTTTTTAACCATTTTGTATGTTTTGATTTTACGTTGGGATATCTCCACATTTTATCGACCATCCTGTAAGATAAAATCTTCCAGACATGTTTACGTTCATTAGGGTGATAAGGCACCGTATTTCATACTTATTTGTTTTAACTTTGGTATGTTCATAATAATAACATAATATATTAGATAGCAGCAGCGCATTTTTTTTTTTTACAATGACATAATAAGTTTAAATAACAAGAACCACTGCATCATTATCTTCAATTAACGACGTTGATCTACTTATATTAACATAAAAGAAACATAGAACACTATGTCAATATTCATCAGCCGTTTAAACTTCTCATGTTTTGATGTGTGATTATTGTAAAATATTTCTTCTTATAGGGATATTTTCAGCACATATTGTCCGCAAGGAATGAACTAAACAAGGAAACATTAACAGAACTCTTTGGAAATATCGAAGACATTTACAAGTTCAACAGGTGAGTGATGTAACTCTATACTGTTATTTGCTTATCAACACTCCTCCAAAGTTAAAACTTAAAGGAACAGTATCACTGTAGCCTTCATTGTAGAGATGGTTAAGGATGTTATATTAAAACGGTAAGCAAGTCATGTGACAATCACGGCCGATATAAAGTCATGTATCATAAATACATTTTGATATTATTTGACATCTCTAGGTAGTATGATGCTACCAAAAATTGATCACTTAAGGAAGAATGTGTAACGGCCGTTTCCGACGTAAAGTATTTATACATTCAGATGTGTTCAGATCGACTATTTAGAATTTCGAAAATGGAGATATCCATTGTACTTAACGGCATTCAAAAACAAAGAATATGGGCCAACTTGGGGAACCAAGATAATCCAGAAAGAGACCTGTAATAAGTCGTATTCCAATTGTGGTAAGCAAAATGTGGCGTCTTGTAACAGGTGAGAATCTATGAAAGTAAAACGGTCAGTAACAGCACGAAATACAATCAAGAAATATTTTCTTTCGTAAAAATTACAAAAGTCACGTGTATACAAGTTGTTTCCACGAAATACCCAGGAAAGTAAGATTAACTGTATGAATGGTACTTAGACGAAAAAAACACGGCAGTACCTTGATAACTGTGACAAATCTCGTACCATTTATTACCGGTTATTAGGTGAGAAAAATGTCCAAATCTTGTACATGTCATGGTACAAAACATTTTTCGAAGGGATTCATGATCATTATTGCTGGATACTGCACCAGGGACAAGTTAGGGATCAAGAGAGTGGATATAAAGGTCAAGGTGAATTCTGCTTACTCGTTATACCACAATGAAATACAAGCTTTAAAGCGAAGCGAGGCCTACAGAATATGAGTTCACTAAGTAAGGCTTCCAGTCCACCTCCCATTCAACCGTTGAGTACCTCAAGCAGCTGAAGAAAGCAACAAACCAAAAACATGACCTTATGTTTTCATCATGTTTCTAATGAGTTGCAGCCTATCAGTTTCATTATTATAATGTGTGCACATAAGTATTTCCTATATTTATAATGTATAGGTATTCTCAGTTTTATAATTATACCAATATGTTATCATACATATTGGGAATTGGCAGTAGATTGATATAAATGAGAGATGTGGATTCGAAATCAGTCTGGGAAGACATACACTAGTGATTAGAGCTCAATAATTATCACATAATCTCAAACTTTTTAATTTTTTTTGTCATCAGTGTTACTCGTACAAGCCAAATAATTATAAATGGAAGTATAGCAACATTTTAGTTTTTCATAGTTATACTCATAATCGCAGCTAACTTGGATCTGATATTTTTGAATGTTCAGATTTGAAATGAGAAAGAAACTAATAGTGTTCATTATAAAGCGGGAAATTACTGTAAAGGTGTGGTATTCAGGTATCCTGATGTCCGAAAGAAAAGTCTTAAAGTACTCGCAAAATGTAGGTTCAAGATTTTTAGGCACACCATAAATTGAACTTAGATATTAAAGGAAAAACGAGCAAACACAAGTGAACAAATTAATACAATATTTATTCACAACACTGTGTGTATGTTGATATAAATTACTAGCTGGCCACCACTCTCTATGTGCTGCTGGAATCGAGGGTAGAAACTAAAGCTGCAAAAGCAAGAGCCAATGAGAAAGAGAGAGAGGATAATTGAAATACCTCACTTTTCTTGTCAGACCAAAGCTTTAATGTGGTATCACATATATCATTAGGTTACGTACTTCAATCAATAATCTACGTACCATTCCACACGGTGTCTGAAACCTTGAATACTTCAACGAATTTTACAGTGTGTGTTCCACGGGCTTTCCTTGTATTTCGAAACAGGTTTGGAGATGGCATTTTAATTCTCTTTGAACACCACGGAGCATATTCGTGGCAACACACTGCTAGTCTCCTTAAATTTAGTTAGCAACTTCCCAACAGCACTGTGAGTGATGTTTCTCTCTCTCTGGAAGACGTACATTAAATTCGGCAGCAACCTTCCACTGGGACCGACCTTTTCTGCCACACATCAGGATAACTCAACCTTCTCATGCTTTGCCATAATCAGTCAGGTATGTGAAATTAAGAAAAGCTGCAAATCATCTATGGTTCCAGATATTTCGGACACCCTGTAAACCACCCCAAGCCAGTTTGTAAAAGTTTTGTATTATTTGTTTGAATAGGCTACTTTCATAGAGTAACGTGTACGTGCTAGCCTTATACTTAAGTTGCACTGTGTATCTTTTACCTGTGTAAAAGGATTAACACATGTTTAAGAACTTAGACTTCCGATCTGCACGGATGTGATTAACTACATGCATAAACTGTTTTAAAAAACTAGTTATGGAGTGGTGAAATTAGTAGCTAAATAATGTTTCAAAAATATTATAATTTTGTTATAAGGTTAAATATGATAGAATCTACAATACTGAAGTATGTATAATATTTATCTTAGATACATCTTAAGTTAAAACTTATATCAAATATACCTGGAAAAATATTAGTATAAGAAATGTAAAACGTTTTATTTTCAATTTGGAAATTAAATCTTTAAAGTAATTTCTCTTTAATCTCAAACATATAACTGTTTTTAGATCATCTTATGCCAGTAGGATAAGTATAAGTTGTTACAGGGAAAATGATGTTCGAAACAACTATTTCTTGTGTTTAATAAGTGATGTGTGTAGAGTAGTAATTAGCTTCCAGTATTCTGAGATGTTAAAATAATGTATACCACGTCCACTTTTGTTAAAAAACTAGCACATTCTGCTATATAATTTTTTGAGGCCCCCAGTGGCACAGTGGTATGTCTGCGGACTTACAACGCTAGAATCCGGGTTTCGATACCCGTGGTGGGCAGAGCACATATAGCCAATTGTGTAGCTTTGTGCTTAATTACAAACAAACAAACAAATTTTTTGAGTATATTATTTCAGATTTGACTCAACTTTGTCAGTATTGTAGTGGAAAGTGTTCCTAACAATACTTTCATTACAGAGGCTTAGCTAACTTTATGAACACTATTTGCATGTAGTAATGCAGTGATGTGTACGGCATTACAGGTGATATGTTTAGCACCTGTATTTTCGATTTCTAGTGAAATGCTGGTACTGATAATTTATAGCTCGATAAATATGTTATAGCAATTTCCAAAGAAAGATGTTCTTGTCGCAAGATTGTTGATTAATGTAAAGCCAAAAGCCGCAACATTTTGAAAAAAAAAGGAATTGTTCTCCATGGAAGTGGAAAAATTCGCTCCAGAATGATTAGGAGGAGAGCCAATCTAGAGGATTTCTCTCATCTTTAAAGTGAAGATTATGGTTACAAAAGAAAATGCTCTGGTCCAAGAAGGTATTGGTGATATAGGTAGATATATCTCTAGGCACTGTTAATAAACAAGGACTTTAAGTCGACAGACACTTACAAATAAGCCAAAAGTTCACAAGCTTCCAGACATACCTTGAAATCAATGAATATTTTAATGAAAAAATTATGACTGAATAAATTGGATTCATAGCAATCCCATACAATCATATGTTGGTCAAGTCCCCTGATAGAGTTACGATGGACTTTTGTGCCTCTAGTTTTCAGTCTTGGAAACTGACATTCACATAGAGTGGAAGGTCTGTGGAAAGCTAGTCAAATGGGTAGCTTAAAATTGGCCTAGCCGTCTTTTACAGAAACTTGTTACAATGAAGATTGAACCGCTTGGCAACACTTTGTAATCATACCCATCAAACCGAGCATAACTGATGATGTAGTAACTAGTTTAAGGGTAACATGGGACCTGGAACATTATTCTTGCAAAAAGTAATTAACTCTTAAGTATAAATACCTACGAAATAAAGTCCACCGCTTGGACAGCGATACGTCTACGAGTTTACAACGCTAAAATCGGGGGTTCGATTTCCCTCAGTTGACCCAGCAGATAGCCCGATGTGGCTTTGCTATAAGAAAACGTAAACATACTGAATAAAAATATCTTGTTTACTTGTAAGAGCAAACATATATAAAAACATTTTCTCTCTTTTCACAACTTATCTAGAATTATGCAGATAGCTTCTATAAAAATGCAAGGTCCACATTTAATTGATTTATAGTCCTTTACTCACCCTTAATAACCTAAATATTTTAGGTGTTTTTATTCAGCAAACTATTTATTTGTAAATTTCTTTTCCTCAACAAAACGTGAATTTCAATAAAGAGAAATGACGCTGAGGCATAATCTATACTTTGATTTGCTACTTCCGCTGCAGCAGACTAGTTTCTCTGTGTTCACAGATCATCAGTACTGTTTGGAAGAGCGAAGCAAAAAATCCGCAGAATAGTGGAAGTGTATTTGATTTAAAATGTTTAACCCTAAACTGAAAGTTTAGTAAAACATTTTCTCTTTGCCCCCACTCGTGATATAGATAATTTGGAATGGCTACGTGACAAAAACAAAAACAAACACAACAAAAAAAAACACCGACCAGATAATTTTTAGGAGCACATTGATGGTTGATGATTTGATAGCAAGCAAAAAGTAGAGAGAAAACCAGGGACGATTAGCACAAAACCAACGGCCGATGTAGGACTTGTGGTCCTTCAGGGCGGCGGGGGATCTATAGATCCAATGGTTAGAATTAGTTGTGGGGGAAAACGGGAGAATCCCCAAGGAAAACCACTTTCACTGGCTGGCGTCTAATGGTTGCCAGGCCAGTACGCGGTTGAACTTAATTGATGGTGTGTTGGTTGGTGGCCAAGAAGGAAGAGACTACCTGATGTCAACTTAGCGTGAAAGGAAGCTAGTTTTCATAATCATACGGTTTAAAGTGATAGGTTGTCTCTGGAAAGGACTGCCCTGGATGTTATGTTCGTGTCAGTAGTCGATGGGCGGCGGAAGAAGGAGAAGTGAATGCAGCTTGGTTCATCGGTTTCATTTTGTGCAGTGATTGTGAGTCGGCCTAGGTATCTATTAGAAGAGCGTTTGACGAGTTGGATGACGGGTCGTTGTGCTGGGGTGGGGGTGGATGGGCGCTGATGTTGAAGGGGACTTGGTGACACAGTGTTGTCTTTGGGGGGTTCCGTAGGCGGCTGGGTCTGTGTCGCTTTCTTTCTTTTATAAGGTTTGGTTTTGGCTGACTGGTTGGTTATTGTGATGTCATCGGTCATTGTGGAGGCCTCACGTGTGTTGATCATGGAGGGTGACTGAGAATGATGGTTGGAGCTGGACTCTGTGTTTGTGTAGACCAGTGAGCAAGTGAGGGAGTAGTGCGTAGGAGACTGAATTTTCGGGCGAAAGTAATGGAAGGTGGCTGCTCGGAGATGGGTATTGTAAATGGCGGGCTGGACGACGGGGAGGTTTATGGTGCAGCTTTTCTCCTGTAAAATGATATAGGTGGTAGGAAATGCCGTGGGTCAGGATGTGTTTCGAAGCTTGCTGTGAGGAATAGTTCTCATGTAGTGGTGGAACATAAGCGGTTTGTTTGTTTTTGATGTATAGCCCTGTAATCACCACTAATAACCGAAAATACTTTAGGTGTATGGATAACATATTGTTGCGTCATCGAGATCACGTGACTATTCTCACGCCCTCTAGTTTCTAGAACTATCTTGTTCCTTCACGAATACCCTAGCATTTACTAGATAGGGTAGTCTGGTATATAAAAGAGGGTGACAACGTGACGGGAGAATAATTTAATGTGTGTGTGTAGGTAGTGAGTAATTGAACTG